TTCAGAAATGTACTGTACTTACAAAAGGAAAACATTCAATAACAGATTGTGCATATGAAAATGTTGCAAATGTATAATTTTCAATAAATCTTTTTCATAAAGAAAACATCTTTCTTATGAATACTGTAGCATTTTTTCTTAGCTAACGTTCAAATAAATCATTGTAGATCTGTTAAATCAGGCTACAAAAAGTTCACTAATATTTTACTGACGATCAGTAGCGTAGCGTAGTGGGGGCGGCAAAATTTCACAATAAATAATAATAATATCTTGTAAGAATTTGAACCATTTTATTTCATATTTTCGTCCACCTACGACTCGGACCGATTGAAATGAGCACGGAATAGTGTTACCATTCATCCGGATAGTCCGGGAATCGACTCGCCATCCGGGGATATCGTGCGCAACCTGTTTTTTTTTTTTTTTTTTTTGAATTCTTCAACGTTTCTAATTTTTTATAAATTCAGATTAACAATTTCAATAAAGCTTTTAAACTAGCATTATTAACAGGTCTAACTTTTGTGTAATTGAAAATTTTGATCACAGACTAGAAAATACTGATTTTCTAAATCTGTGATCCTGTTTTTTCTTCTTTTTTTCCTCTAGAATCATTTTCATATTTTAAAATTATAAAAAATATTCTTTAACGATTTTTTATTTATTATTTTTATTTTTATTTTTTACTTTTAATAATAATAAAATTCAAGACTTAAGGTGAGACATAATGTAGAATAGAATAGACATTTTCTATTTTCTCTCAAAAATCTTACAATTAGAATAAATATTTTCATTTTTATATAAATTTTATTTATAAATTAAATTAAAATATTATTTTTACTGTTCTGCAAATTGATACATTTCCATAAAAACAAAATATTTGTTTTTATTTTTTCATCTTTATAATGAATATTTTATAAGAGGACTAAATGTATTATTCGAAGAGTTTGGGTATAAAAGGTGGAAATCAACACAAACCTAGTTTTGGGGAAAATGAGAATAAATATTACTAAAAGAAGCTGGTTGTACATGTTAAAAGGCAAAATTGCAATGAACTCTGACTGACTTGCCTTCTCTTTATGAGATTAAATTCACACTTCTGATAATTTCAGAAGATAGATATTAGGTAGAGCACTTATCAGCAAGAATAACTTTTTGTTGGTTACCACTTTTTTTCATCTAAATGCTTCATTTATAATTTAAAAATTCACATTTACTTTAGTTTAAGAAAATCTTTTAAATATTGTTTTTTGTCTTTTATTATAAATGTATTTGTTTTAATTACATAAATTGAATTTTTTTGTAAATTTGTGTCAGTTTTTAAGTTTTCAAACTTATTTAATATTTACTTTGTCTGTAATAGAACTGTAAACTTTTTTAGAATAATACTAAGAATTAATAAGATTTTATATAAAATTATTATAATAGTTAAAATTATCAATAATCAAAGTAATTATAAATATTAAGAAAATTGCTGATCTAGAATTTAGTCTGATACAAAGTTTCTTAATTCTGTGTAATATGCCATCCTTCTTATTCATACTCACTGATTCTATTGCAAATTACCTCCACTATGGGCACTAAGAGGGCCTTTTGCTTTTTTTCATGCTCATTATAGATTTAGCCAAGCCCACAAATTGGGTCAGCTGGATTATACAGAATGGGATCTGACATATTGAGAAATTTCACATGATAAATTTCAGGAGAGTTATTTTTCTGAATTCAGTTTTAGGTCCCCAGAGTGGTAGGCTGATCCTTAACTTCGTATCTCACCTTCATTTGATCCCATTTATAAAAAGCAGAAGTGAGATTGTCATTTAACTCATACTTTATTGGTCATTGTAAAAAAATTTTCAGCCCACTTTATTCTAAAATATGAATCAAAATACACTCACTATTCAGATTTAGTATAATAATCTTCAATAACAAATTTTATAAAATAGTTGTAACTGTAATTATTAGTTCTTTGATCATAAGCAAGTTAGTTTTTAATAATTTTCTAAAATTATATTTACAGAACTTCCAGTACAGATCAACAGATTAAATATCATTATATGTATTTCAATCGCTTAAATTTGGCTGAAAAATCTACCATTCATATCGATGCCAGGAAAACAGGTCACATGTCATTCCCTCCAGAAATTATTAAGCTTTTAGCTGATATAAATTTTGATCTGTCCAGGTTTGTGTTTAATTAATAATTCAAAGATTAATAATAATGAAATTATATAAAGTTCATTCATAATTTTATACTTATTATTTTTAGACTAACAGATGCAGGTGAAATTATTGGGAAAACTGTAGCTGATTGTTGGGTTATTGGAAAATTATCTGAACAAAGAGAATTTTATGTCGTTCTTCAACAGAAAAATGCAAATATCATCAATGTCAGTGGTGAGTATAAATTTTAATGTTCAAAAATTTAATTTATACAAATACGACAAAATACTTTAAAAAATTTTATTAAATTATTAAAAATTATTTAATTAATTTTTTTTTTATTTTTGCTTTCATTTGCAGATGAATTGAAGAGGCTAAATGCCATCAATTTCCAGAATATATTCCTTGTAGATTAAGAATGGTTTTTACATTCACAATTTGTTGTTATTTATGTACAATTTATTAAATTAAAACATAGTTGAACCATAAGGAAATGTTTTAATTATCATATACTGTTAATATGATCTCTCAACTATGATCAATCAAATAATTATTATTTAGATGTTTACTTTTACACACATTCAGGTATTTATTGTACTACATTGTGATTACTTTTACTGTAAGTAAAATATTGCACCAGTTAACATAAATAATAAATTACATGAATAAGACAAAAAGTACAATATTTACAAGAAAATAAATAAATTTTCAATTGGGTTTTTTTTTTTATATTTTAACCTTTGCAAGGAACATTAATTTTGGATGAACTACATCCCAAAACTTTTTCATCAAATACGAGTCTGATTGGACAGTCAAACATATGCAGGGTAAATTTATTAATCCACTTGTCCCAATAACATTCGTAAAATTTAAAACAACTGTCTGGATGGCGAAAAAGTCCTGGTCTCGTACAAGCTGTTTTAGAGTAATAATCAAGTTCAAACTTCGGTCCAAGTTCGTTTATGCTCTCAAACTTAGGATCGTCGCGTCCTTTATATGGAGAATTTTTCTTGCGTGAATTATAGTCGTCATCGTCATCTGTTTCTGGTCTGTTTGGCACTCTGTCAGGAATTGATTTATATTTATATTTAGCTAATTCAGGTGGAATTTCTTCAAAGTCTGGTTTCTCTTTTATATTGGGTCTATCTTTAAAATTTTGATATCCAGTATCTCTATTCCTTGGAGGAATATCACCAAATGTTTCAGGTCTAGGTCTGTAAGTTTGATATTTTTCAAATATTGAAATATCTTTAGGTTCTGATCTGAAATTTTGTCTTGGTCTATGCTTAGGTTCTGGTTCTGGTCTGAAATTTTGTCTTGGTCTATGCTCAGGTTCTGGTTCTGGTCTGAAATTTTGTCTTGGTCTATGCTCAGGTTCTGGTTCTGGTCTGAAATATGGTCGTGATATTTCTTTTTGCTCTGAATCTGGTCTGAAATATGGTCGTGATATTTCTTTTTGCTCTGGATCTGGTCTGAAATCGGGCCGTGATACATCTTTAGATTCTGGATCTGGTCGGAAATATGGACGTTTAAAGTCATCTTGATCATAAAATTTGTGTTTGGGTGGTATAATTTCAGAATCTAGATCAGGTCTACGAAAATGAGATTTGATTTCTGATTCAGGTCTCTGTGGTGGTGGACGTATTTCTTCATATTTTTCAAATTTATATTGTGTGCCTGGAGGTAACTCTCTATCCCTTTGTTTGTAAGGAGGTACATCTTTGCAATCATCATCATACTTACTTGGTTTAAAAGATTTTGGAACAAAATCTGGAATTGGTTCAGGGTCTGGAAGTACTTTCTCAGGAGAGTCTTTGAAACCATGATTATAATATTTTATAGGTCTTTGCCACACATCTCCACTATCCTCAGGTGGTGGCGGTGGCGGTGGTGGAGGTAGAGGTGAATCAATAGATTTTTCTGGGTCAGGTCTACGTGGCAGTGGCAGTATATCTGGAGGACCATAATAGATTTGCTTTTCAGGTCTCTTTGGAGGAGTTATTTCTTCAATAGGAGGTTCTGGATCATCAGGTAGAGGAAATTTTGCTTTGACAGGAGAAAATTTATCAACAATAGGAGGCTCTGGTTCAACTGGTTCGGGAGGAGGTGGTGGTGGAGGAGGCTCTTGTGGAATAACTGGTTCAGGAGGGGGAGGAGGAGGAGGTTCTTTAGAAATAGCAGGTTCTGGAGGCACTTGTTTCAAAACAATAGGTTCTGAAGGAGGACGGATATCTTTAATAAGTGATTCATATTGTAGTTTTCCAGGTGTAAGCAGGTGGGGTGAAATTCTTTCAAATTTGTTGCCATTATTGATGATAAAAATATTAACAGGTGGTTGTACTGGAGGTTTTTCTTCCAAAAGAGGTATTGTTAAGATACCACCAGAATACTGATTTGAAATTAACTTTGAGAGATGAGAAAGTGGACCATGGCTAAAGAGTGTCTTGAAAGATATAGGACCACCATTAGTGATTAGGCCAAAAAGTCCATGAAACATGTTTCTCAATCTATCAAAAGGCTTTTNAGGTCCGGATAAGGAAAAATCCGGATAATCGAAAAAATACTTTAATTTGTCTTTTAATGATAATACAATACGTTTTCTTTTCGATGACATATCGGTAATATTAAAAGTAAATACTGTATTTAAATCGTGATCAGATTTTCAAGAAACAAACGTTCGTATTGAATTTGTACTACTACTGACCAACGCTAACAGACTACCTATTGTTTAAAAGGCCCTCTGGCGGCTCAAGAATAAGGATTTTATAAAATAAAAAGCAGTTGAAACTGCATTTTTATGAATAAAAATTTGACAAACTATCATTTTATGACGAGTAAAATATTTTCGTCGCGTTCGCGGCTTTTAAGTAATGCATAAACCTTCGAAACGCGAGGCCCTTCGGACCGCGAGGCATAGGCGGTGGCCCACGTCGTCCATGCCTTACGCCGCCCTTGGTCATAGAAATGATTTAATTTGAATATAAATTATTTATAAATACGTTTGTCAAGTTATATTTTTATTACGACGTAAAATATATTTAAGAGTTTACGACCACTGTGCTGGGTGAGACGTTGTTGAAACAAAAAAAGTTATGCATTCCATCATGTACATAAACAGTGTCGTAATTCGCCAAGTGCAAATCAGCAAATTCGTAAAATTTTTGTTTATTTTGGACAATCCGGATAATCGAAAATCCGGATAATGGAGGTCCGGATAATGGAGGTTCTACTGTATAAATAAATTTTAACCAAAAGTTTTACATGACACAAATCTGAAATACACAAACTAATTTGTTAATTATTTAAGCATTTATTAATATACATGGTCCCGGGGCCTTGTTGATTTTTTTGCTGACAATATGGTTGACTAAGTGTAGCTGTCATTAGGTAGCAAGAAATAATGCAATGCAATGCAACATATGAAAAGGGGTGCAGAATATTTTCAGGACCCAAAATGTCTCCTAAACATACGTAAAATGTTTCCAAAAATTAGTACACACATAATAAAACCATAATTTATGAATCAATTAATAATTATTATTCCTTAATTTGGAAAATTTAAATTAAATCATACATATAATTAAATAGGTGTACCATACAATTTGCCATGCAACACTAAACTGATATGGTAACAAAATATTTTTGTTAACCTTTTCATCACCTTTCGAATGATTATTTAGTTTATAGTTTTCTTTTTCTCAACAGAAAACTATGTTACACAAGCTAGTGTGGGTTTTTCCTGGACACCTGTTAATTATATTGCCTTTAAATTTATTTAATCTTATAACTAGTCTGAGAAACCTTACAGAATATTTATTTATATTTGATATTTGTTTCTTTTTTATCATAATAGTCAACAGTGATGGAACAGTATTATTAAATATTTGTAATTATAAATGTATTTATTCATTATAAAAATTTAAAATAAATAATATACAGTTGTTTAATTTAGGTTTATGACCGGTCCTACAACTATTACAGATGGGGCAAACATTGATAAAGTTCCAAAAATTTATATTAATAAAGATTCTAGTGAAGAATATTCTTTACTAGTGTACAGAGCTTTAAGTGCTACGATATGTTTACTTGTTGATTGTAAGTATATTTACTTTTCCTTGTTTGTATGATTGATAAATTTGTAATATAATTTATTTTGTTCTTTCAGCAAAATATCAATTGAATTTAGAATTTTTCAAAAAATTGGATCAGTTTTTAGGTCCAAACTTAACATCTCTAGCCTCAGAAATAAGTGAACAATATTCAAAAACAGTTGGCCTGTGAGTACAGGTATTTGACCAAATAAAATTATTTATAGCTGTCTCACCTTAAATCAATATATATAATACTTGAATTTAATTATTAATAATCAAAATAATCTAAAATTAGTTAGTAGTAATAATTTAAGAAATTTTGTACCAAATATTTCATTATCTAAATTTTACCACCTTGTTAACTAATAATTATATTTTATAGCCCAACATTTATGAAAAACAGATTACTTTCAGGCTAGAATTAAGCTACTTTTTAAACTTCATAAGAAGACATAGTTGTTATTTTTCTAATTACATATAGACTTGCTTCCTGAATACTTTAATTAAAGTATAAGCACATTTCAATCATTAAGCTAATTAATAATTAATTAAATTATGGAATTAGTTCAAAGGTAGTGTGTTAATACACCATTTGTGCTTAATTCTAGCCCAAAAATAGTTTAAGTTTTAGATATGATTGGCTATTAAGAATTGAACTTTGGTTAATGTTTATATGAGGAACTTATTTCCATATGGATGTAAATGCACATGGAAATAAGGAACTACAGTAAAAAGAACATATGTCTATCTGTAAACAAACATAAATTAGAAGCTATTTTTTTCTATTGTATATGGGCCTATTTGACACACAAATTTATTACATAAACAGTAGAGCTTTCAATGAGTAATATTATGGAATTAATTCAAATATCATAAATTTGGTGCTTATGTCCATTTGGAAATAAGCTCCTCATATACATTTAATTTGATATCAAATTAAATTCATATATGAGAAACTTGTGCTAATATTTATGAGAGAGTGGTTTAAACAACAGAGTGAAGAAGATGCTTCAAATTTAAAAATTGATCATTTAAAAATTGAAAATGCTACTTGACTAATTTATCTTATAATTTGATTTAATATGGTATTATTATTTCCTATTTTCTCAAAAGTTCAAATTCTTATACATATCAAGTCACAATATAATGTATGTATAATAATGTTTTTTTTTTTTTTTTTTTTTTGAATTCTTCAACGTTTCTAATTTTTTATAAATTCAGATTAACAATTTCAATAAAGCTTTTAAACTAGCATTATTAACAGGTCTAACTTTTGTGTAATTGAAAATTTTGATCACAGACTAGAAAATACTGATTTTCTAAATCTGTGATCCTGTTTTTTCTTCTTTTTTTCCTCTAGAATCATTTTCATATTTTAAAATTTATATATTAATTTGAAAGTTCAAGGGATACACTAAAAATTCTCACACAATGCTGAAACAATATAGCTAGTACTGGATGTGCAGTAAATCAAAAATAGAAAATAGGCAAGTATTTGTATCATTTTCATATTTTAAAATGTATATATTAATTTGAAAGTTCAAGGGATACACTAAAAATTCTCACACAATGCTGAAACAATATAGCTAGTACTGGCTGTGTTACATCACTATAGTAGATGCTGACTGAAATTAATCTAGGTCTTTGTATTGGGATGTTATTCCCTCTTTTTCTGTAATGGAAGAGGGTAATAATATCCATATTTTCCATAAACTTGCCCAATACCACATATCGATAGATTATATATCATGTAATTTAAATTAGCCATTTAAAATATCAATCCTCAAGTCATGAAAATTCATAACTAGTGTATAAGAGAGTTGATATTTTTCATTTAAGAAAGGAAGAAATCAAAATAAATTATTTCCAAATTCAAATTATATAAAGTGGCCTAACATTTTGTTATAACACAACATACCAATACCAGCACACTTGAAATTAAGAATATTTACTAACATTTTCATCCATTTATAACAGACATCTTCAGGCATATAATGGAGAACAAAACTGCTACATTAAAATCAAACACGTTTTTACAAATAATTTACAACTTCAAATTTAAATTGTTTCTGGAACAAAGTATGTCTACAGTTTAAAATTATTTCCTGAACAAAATACATATTTAGTTTAAAAATATTTTTGAATAACCTACAAAATGTGTTTAAATTATTTCCCGTAAAAATGTATGTATTTAGTTTAAGATAAATTTTGTAATGATGTAGATGTTTTGTTTTGCATTACATGCCTGAAGATGTCCGTTATAAATGGATGAAAATGTTAGTAAATATTTCTTAATTTTAAGTATGTTGGTATTGGTATGTTGTGTATGTTTATTCCAGTATTAGACAGTTATTTTTTAACTGAGATATAGTTTGATGATTCTTGAATAACAACATACAGGTGTTCCAAACTGCTTTTAATTATTCTTAAAATATAGATGAAAAGTCAGTTAAATGAGTTATCGAGCATGTCAAAGTTAACCAAAATTATTTGAATGAATATATATTTGGATTTTTCAGGAACGAATATGATGCCATCGTAAACAGTATTAACTTGCAAATTCATTTTGGCATTCATCATCAGTATTATCAAGGTGCTTTACAACCCATTCCAGAAATGCTGAGCATTCTGGAATTGAGTATCGATAAACGCAAGACTCTGGCTGATTTACGAAATCAGATTGGGCAAGTAAGGATTTTAGTTATTTTATGTCAAAAGAAATTGAAACTAAATTTTAATCCGAATCATTTTAAATTTGCAAATTCTTAGTTAGGTATGGCGTTCTGTCCGGAAAGCCACGATACAATTCATCTTCTGAGTGAAGTGCCTGCAGGTCTTCATCTGTATGAAGAACTAAGTCCTAGTAATTTGTTTTTATTCATTACAATAGAAAAAATTTAATTTGTGCAAACTTAATTTATCCTTTGTGCAATTATACTGTGATAGGTCAAGATTCGGAAAGTCTTATAGATTTACAAATTACGGACGGAACTAAATTATTTGTTTGGAATGGCAAAGAGGTAGTCATTGCTTAATTAATGTGCAAAAATTGATGATTAATTTTTCACAAATTTGCAATATATATTTGTAGGTTGGAGGCGAAATTATTCTCGTGGGCATTCACCACGAGCCTATTTTGTTAAATGTCACCTGCAGGTTGAGTGACACAGATTGTATTAAAATGACACGGGGATTTCCAAAGAGTATGACCTTAGGAGAGTTAAAAGTTCTGCTTTGTGATATTACACCCTTAAACTTAGAGGATATTGTCATTAGTAAGGTTGAATTTCAAAGTGAGTGTTTCTTTTGTTAATTACTTACTAATACTTAAAGCATTTAATATTGCATTCAACTTTTTGCTAATACTTTTTAATACTTTATAGTTGTTTTAGATGACGATTCGACAGTTACAACCTTTGATGACTTGAAAGAAGGAATGTCGTTGATAGAACTCAACCTTTTAGATGGTGACAATATTCTTGCTACTAGCAGCTGTGATAAAAGTGATAACTATACAAAATTGATTACTGTAATTGTTGAGAACAGATGCATGGTGAGTGTTGATGTGTGCTCACATCTGATGATTTATACATTAAACTATTGAAACAATATACATAAAAACAAAAATAACTTTTCTTATAGATTAACAGTGGTTGTGCACTTCCCAATCCAATTCAAAATGAAGTCGAAGTAGATCCAAAACAAGTGATTATGCAATTATCATCACTATTGATTTCAAATGATCTTTCAAAACTTTTAAAAATAATTGTCAATCTTAGAATATTTCAGATCTTTTAAACCTGCTCATACAACGATTTTCATTCGACAACAGTATTGATTATAGACTGAGAAAAGTCGCCGATGGTCGTCGTCAGAAACCGTCAAGTATGAAATAATTGAGATAACTTCTTGGCATGTTGTATTCTTGCAACTTTTTCTAATAAATCGTTATAAATTCTTCTTAGTTTATTTAGATTTAACTCTTAGAGAAGCGGGGATAACGGACAGTTGTAAATTAATTTTAGAAAAAGGAGTTTCACCAAAGTCTAATCAAGTATTAATCAGTATTTTACATTTTTAAGTCATTATTTATTAATAAAATATTGATAAAGTTGTATAAACTTTGTAGGTAACTTTACTGTTTAGCATAAATGAGATGATTGATGATGCTCCTGCATATGAAGTGACGGTCAGTCGTAAATTAAGCATTTCAGAATGTCTAAAATTAATGCTGAAGCAGTCCGGTTTAGATGGTATTATACTGTTTATCTTATAAGATAATATTCTTTACCAAATAGTTATTTTATTATCACCAATTTTAGGAGAAAGTTGGCATCTTTGCAAGACGAATTGGCGTGGAGAACCCACCAGTCCATTAGTTAATGAAAATATGAGCTTAGAAGAGGAAGGAGTGGATCACGGTGATTATTTGATTATTTTAGAAGGTCGTCTTCCTCCTCCAGGATATCTCACTCTTTACATGTGGTTATATGAAACATTCACTTGCAATCAAAATCAAAATTCAAATGACACAAGAAGTAAGTCTATTTAGTTGCAATTTCTTTGTAAAATGATATATATAAATGTTAAAATTGTCATACAGTAGTTTTTGTTCTCTGTGTTTGAATGCAATTAGTGACAGAGAAAAATTATATGCACTTGATCAAAAGTATAAGATATTTGAGGCAGAGAGTTAGTGAAGCCTCTTTTATAAGGCTTACAGAGTTGTGTTTGTTCTCAAAATATGTTTGATCGATTTTGATTATACTTTGTCATTTTCCATTAATTGTGATAAGGAATCCAAAAATACAATAAAAAATGAGTCCATGACTTTGTTTTTGACATACATNATCTGGTCTGAAATATGGTCGTGATATTTCTTTTTGCTCTGGATCTGGTCTGAAATCGGGCCGTGATACATCTTTAGATTCTGGATCTGGTCGGAAATATGGACGTTTAAAGTCATCTTGATCATAAAATTTGTGTTTGGGTGGTATAATTTCAGAATCTAGATCAGGTCTACGAAAATGAGATTTGATTTCTGATTCAGGTCTCTGTGGTGGTGGACGTATTTCTTCATATTTTTCAAATTTATATTGTGTGCCTGGAGGTAACTCTCTATCCCTTTGTTTGTAAGGAGGTACATCTTTGCAATCATCATCATACTTACTTGGTTTAAAAGATTTTGGAACAAAATCTGGAATTGGTTCAGGGTCTGGAAGTACTTTCTCAGGAGAGTCTTTGAAACCATGATTATAATATTTTATAGGTCTTTGCCACACATCTCCACTATCCTCAGGTGGTGGCGGTGGCGGTGGTGGAGGTAGAGGTGAATCAATAGATTTTTCTGGGTCAGGTCTACGTGGCAGTGGCAGTATATCTGGAGGACCATAATAGATTTGCTTTTCAGGTCTCTTTGGAGGAGTTATTTCTTCAATAGGAGGTTCTGGATCATCAGGTAGAGGAAATTTTGCTTTGACAGGAGAAAATTTATCAACAATAGGAGGCTCTGGTTCAACTGGTTCGGGAGGAGGTGGTGGTGGAGGAGGCTCTTGTGGAATAACTGGTTCAGGAGGGGGAGGAGGAGGAGGTTCTTTAGAAATAGCAGGTTCTGGAGGCACTTGTTTCAAAACAATAGGTTCTGAAGGAGGACGGATATCTTTAATAAGTGATTCATATTGTAGTTTTCCAGGTGTAAGCAGGTGGGGTGAAATTCTTTCAAATTTGTTGCCATTATTGATGATAAAAATATTAACAGGTGGTTGTACTGGAGGTTTTTCTTCCAAAAGAGGTATTGTTAAGATACCACCAGAATACTGATTTGAAATTAACTTTGAGAGATGAGAAAGTGGACCATGGCTAAAGAGTGTCTTGAAAGATATAGGACCACCATTAGTGATTAGGCCAAAAAGTCCATGAAACATGTTTCTCAATCTATCAAAAGGCTTCCATGATGAAGAATGTGAATGTGAAGAAGGTCTGTTTGAATGATAATCAAAGTGATGACTATTTGGATAATGATGTGGTGTAGCCCAATGGTGCTGATCAGGAATTCCATATAAAGGATTTAAAGGAGGTTTAACTTCCTTAATGGGTTCAGGAAGTGGCGGACGCAACTTTCCGATTCCATCGTCATATGAACCTGGATTAAATCCTTTAATTTCATCAATTTCTAGATTAGGATGTTTAGGTTCTGGTAATGGTTCTGGATCTGGTTTTTGTTCTGGTAAAGGTTCTGGGCGTGGTTTGTTTTGTTTTGAAAAGTGAATTAGTTTGTCAACGTCATCATCTATAGATATTACAGGTATTTTATCAGGTTTATCATATATCAGTTTATCAAGCTCAGGATCAACAGGAATAATAGGTTCCTTTTCGGGTTTTTGACGAAACTTGTCAAAGTCAGGATCAATTGGTAAAATAGGTTCTTTTTCAGGTTTTTGTAAGAACTTTTCAAAATCAGGATCAACAGGTAAAGTCCCTTTAGGTTTTTCATAAATAACACCCAGTTCTTTTGGAGGAAAAGGATTCTGTGAATTCCATTTTGCAGAAGTTTCATATCCACAACCTGGTACAAGCCATCTCCAATTACAAATATGTTTTTCTTCATCATAAGCCAGATTGTATGGACATTTAAATTCATAAGCTGAAGGTACACCATTATCATAATAAAATTCGGAACAGTAGTAAAACCAACGACAGTTCTCTCTGTCACGAAAGTATCCCACACCAGGACAAACAAATTTATTTTTCGGAACATCCACTACTTCTCCAGATCCAGCACATTGTTCAGACCAAGAGGGCCAATTGCAGACTTCATATCTCTCGTCAAAAACCAACCCGTGTGGGCATTCATAATGAAATACAGTAAAGTCATCGGAAAATTGGTGAAACTTCACACAACGATAAAATTTACCACAGTCAAATGGATTTTGATAATAACCTTCTCTGGTACATTCTAAATCTCTGTCATATGGAGCTGCTATGCCAGACCTTTTTAAAAAGGTTTTAGTTTCGGATGGTTCCATATATTCTTTCAGATTATCTATTGAACTTTTGTTTGATTTTACACCCATCATGACTTGGTAAATGCTCCTAATAAGTGGATAATGCCCTCCTTTACAGAAATTACTATGGTCATCTTCATGAATGCTGGATATTTGCACTCCTCCAAGTTTTCTCAGTAAAATGTACTTACTCTAAAAGAAAAAGATTAATTTGTAAAAATATATTTGCGAACAAGCCTTAATTTACAGACTTACTTTAAGTTTTAAACTTATCTCATCGTCAAATGCTTGTCTAATGTTTCCATTTGCAATGAAAGGCGACGTTTGATCCATTTCTCTTTGCAATGTCCAATTTTTGTTTCTTCTGTCTATGCAAATCTATATTTAAACATAAAATATTGCATCATATTGAAAAATTGTCATTCATACAAAAGTGCGTCTTCCTACCTCTGTGTATGGAACACGAATTGACGATTTAATTCTTCCGAGGGAAGGATCAAGTTCCGTTCGGATACCAAAAGTGGAAAGCGTCACTAAAATTTTACTTCTAGGAACTCCCCAACTCAATACATCATCAATGACGGAAGCCTTTATTTATAATTATTTAAGTTTTAAGTCTTTATTTATAATTATGCGCAGGGTGGCCCAAAAATTAGTTAATTATTTTGTGCATCAGGTACACATAAATATAAATCATAAAGTAAGTTTAGAACAATGTATTTTCTTTTTACAGAATTGATGGAAACATAATTAAAATAAAAGATTAACACAGCAGTTGTCTTTAAAGTGGTTAACTGACTTTTGGGCTACCTTGTACATAAACTTGCTGTTATTTAGACATATTTTGGGTCTAAAGAGTCCAAAATTTCAAAAACATTAAGTCATCACATGTAGTAAATATTACAGGATACTTACAAGAGTTTCCAGGTCCGAAATCCTTCTAAAATCTTCTTTGCTCTTAACTTTTGCATACGAATAGAAAATTGGCTGTATCACAACCATATCCAAATATCTGCAATTTCAAAATGTATAATTAAAACACTTAACAGACAGAGTCATAACTTCAAACAATACAAACCTTGTAAGAAGTTTCAGATTATCGTATTGGGTAGAATTTAGCAGTTTGGCCGACAGAGACATAGTAATAGTCTTGTTACTCGCATTAGATTGCAAACTCTGAAGAAACCACAAAGAAATTTATCAATCCATTCTGAGCATTTATTGAAACTTTCCATAATTACCTTTAAAATTGGAAGAATAAACGTCGTGTTGTCTCCGTCGTAATCCAATTCCATTCCATCCAAATCTATTCTGTTTAACAAGTATCGAGCTTCTTCCATAAACTTTTCCGGTCGGAAATCATTTCCCAATGGAATCGACGCCATAATTTTAGGAAAGTAAGCATCGTCGGCTCTCTTCTTACCTAAATTTCTAAATAATTCTGAAAAAAATTTTCTTAGAATTTTAAATTTTAATTTGTTTAGGTGTAATTTATACAGGATACTTACCATTTTGGTTTCTGTCAACTTGTAACTTGTCTTTGAATTTTGTCAAACCCACCACCAAGTGACTACATAGACAAAAATCAAATTTCGATCTCTCTAACAATTCCACCGAATTATGGATTTCCGTTCGGATCTTGCAGAATATTTTCTTGTTGGGTACGACGCACGATGCTGAATAAAAAACAATTTTATTTACAAAATCAAATCGGAGGAAAGAATACCCCAAACAGAAAAACAAAAACTCACTTTTACAATTGGTCAACGGTGCCCTTAAAATTGTGAAAAGTATCGTCACGGCAAGCAAAAGGATTTTCTGTAATTATATAAAAATTCTATTAGTTTAGTAATTGATAGTCACATGAAAAGTTAAAAATTTTAACCACGAATATAATAAACACAATTACCTCAGCAGCATGTTATTAATTCACTAACTATTCATATTCTTTAGTACTACACATTTAATACCTTCTGTAGCATGTTTACTACTCACTTTTAGTACTTTAGCACATTAATAACAGTTACTAAAGTAGTAATATGAACAACAAACCTGCTAAGGTTACTATATAATAATAGTAGTAATGCAGAATTTACAATTTATTTAGTATTTTAACAGCATGTTTAATATTCATGTTATTACTTCAGTAACTATTCAGGTTTGTTACTTTAGTAATACCTTTTACAGCTTGTTTACTATACACTTTTAGTGTTTTAACATGTTTAAGAACAGTTACTGAAGTAGCAATGTGACCAACAAACATGATAAGATACTAAACATGAATATAAACTGCTATAATAATTTTTAAGTTTAGTACTTTAGCATGTTTACTATCTTAGAAGTAGGTGTGAAAGTGAAATTATTGAATTTTTATTGTTGTGAAAGGTAACTTACTATCTGATCTTTCTACTTACAGTTTTTATGATATTAATGGATTGTGTGATAAGAGCACGTTCTTCATTTATTGTTTGCTCTAATTTTACTGAAGAAAAAAAGGTCTTTTCTTAAAGAATTAAGGTTAACACCAGAAAAAAAACTTTGAAAACAAAACTTCAGGCGATGTTCTAGATTTTGGAGGAAACCCGGAAGTGAAAGATGATGGGAGTGCCTCTTGATTCTTAGTTTTTTTTCCTTTAATAAAAAAAACGTGTACTTTTCTAGGTGATTATCGTTCAGGTATGTGCCATTGAACGTGTAGAATACTATGAGGAAAATTTGGATAGAAGCCAAAGCTTCTATCCAAATTTAATGATTAGTTTATGGTAAATTCAGTTGATGATAATTGATGCTCATCGTGGTAAATTGAATACAAGGATGAGCATCAATTAGGAGAAACATAAGGAGTTAATAGAATAACTTGATGAAATAATTATCCATTCAGTTGCATCACTTTCTCCACATCAACATAATTTGTGTAGATAATACTATGCAGATGTCAGGAAAGATGATAAAAAAAATTCAAACAGGATGATGTGATGCTATCACATCATCCTGTTTGAATTTTTTTAAATGCGATAGCATCATCCTGTTTGCTAATCATTATTATTCTGTACACGGATAATTTGATTATTTATAATACATAGAGATATTGGAAGTCTTAGTAAGGAGCATGTTAGTATGAAGACCTCATAGAAATTTCGTTAATATACTTTTATAATAATAAATTTCTGACCCTAGGCTATGGTAATTGAAAGAATTAATACTACTATAGGAATAAAACTTACCTCCATGGCATTGGTAATGGTCAGATATGGACAGTTGGACGTCGACTTTCGATTTAAGTGAGGTTGCTCCAATTCATAAAACTTATAACGCCCTATCTTAACCCATTTATAAGGTACTGATGTCAGTCCCGATCCACTTTCTCGCGGTCAATATGTGAATTAGTAATCCATATTCCCGTAAATTCCCTTTTTATACATCTGCTCGTTCGAAAATGTATTTTGTTAACTCCTTTCTCTGCACGATCCGTGTACAGGCGCACGTGTTTGTTCCTCGTTGAAAGTCCTTTGCGTTCATTTACAAGATGTACAATTGCTAATTTAGTACTAAATTTCGTTTATTTTGAATGTTTTTTTCTATTTTAAATCAGCAAAAACTTAAATTATCCTCCCCCGATCATGAAATTATTGAATGCTTAAATCAGTATATCTGGCGAGATACATTGTGGCATCAAATTATTAATTGAGGACATATCGAACGAATTGTTCGGTAAATCACCCGATAATATGTATTTAGCGCGTGTTTACACCCACGATTTACACCTTCGATACTCTCTAATGTGGGTGTACTGAGATGTTGCAGTGAAGTTTCATTGACAGGCGGATTTGGAATAATTAAAGATGCGGAGGAGGAGGATTTATCCATTAAAATTGATGTAATATTTTATACGAAATATGTGTGAAAGGTATCTAAATACTTTGGGGCATAGACACTTAAAAATTATCTTTGAAATTATAGGGAAAGTCGTAGTTCAATAAAGCCTTAACGAGTGTTTATCCTATGCTGAGGCTTTGTTAGAAGGCCCTATCTTACCGTCTGATAATATAAAACAAATGCAAGGTTGTGACAATAATGGTGTCACAGGTTATACATTTTAAAGTGTTTCGTAAGAAAATCTGCATGATATAATCGATTATTATAACTCGCAAATAGTGTAATGACTTTTGGGAGGTCACCAGATAATTTGAACCATTTACAATAAAATTTAGCCAAGAAAATTAACATTTAACTTCATTTAAATTAAGTAAATAAGCAGAACGACTCGCTAATATGACAAAGTAGAATGGGAGTTCATTAACATAATTACTTGTGTACTACTAAATTAATGAAGGGGGCGTAAAAAAAATTTTTACGCGTTAAGTCGTATTTTAAAACGTAATTTTATCACACATTTCGTAACGAGTATTAAAATTATTCACGTTTATTTATTCCTTTTCTGGAATCGTATCGAAAATTTTAAACAATGGTTCGATCTCGCTGTTTATTACGTAATGACCCCCTTTTAAACAGCAAGTTCGTACGACTGCACCAATTTTGGTATTGTTACTTTCGCTAAATTAGGTGCAATACATTGCTTAGGGAGCTGGTGTGCTAGAAGATACACGGAGAAGCGAAGCCCAAACGTTCTAGAACATTTAATGGGGCTTAAAAAAAAGCACGCGACGAAGAATTTAGTGTTTTTGTTGTGGATAATTTATCAAGATTTTCTAAGGAATTATCGAGATAAAAAGTTGTAATAACATATTTTTTTTTTACGTCTGTTTTTCCAGATGACCTCTTTTATTAACCTGAAAATGAATGGTGTATCCGCTCGTGCATTCGAGCTGTCGACTTTTAAATCACATTTACCCTCGATTAAATTCTTTACAAACACGAAAACTGGTTGCTTTTTGTGCAATTCTTCTATTCGATTTAAATTTGTTTGTTAATTTCATTATTTTATACGTAATTTAACAAATTTATGTAATAACAGGACTTGAAAAGAGGTGAGATGTTAGTCCACCCCTTTCCGAAGGCCATCAAAAGAAAGTGTTAATTTACAACGTGTTTTTAATGTAAAAATATTAAATTTTGGGGCATCTCTGCGTTCTAGATTTTAGCCAAGTGGCATCCTCCATGTGGGCCTACTTAAACCCAAACAATTTTGAATAATGGTATTTTAATTCGAGCCTGGCCACGTGGAGTTTTCCGAATTTCCTTCACGTTTATAACGTCTAAATAAAAGCCAAGTTTCCCATAGAACGAATTCCCGAGAGGCATACCTCTTGGTAAATCGCCCATGAAAGTAACATTTATTCGAACTAATGATCATCCACTTTTCACAGGACGTTTACTTTCTGTATATCAATAGACGTTGGATAAGACAACGGGACACACTAGCGATTTGCTAAGTGGGAGTGCCTCTCGAGAACCTGAAAATTTTATTCTAAGAAAATATAACGGTTCCATTAATTATATAACTTTTATATTTAAAAATAATTATGAATACAAGATAAAAAGTTTACAAAAGTAATGCATCTTTTATCAATGTTTTTTTATATTTTTACGAGTTCAGAATTTAGATAGAGAAACTTTATTCTCTTTCCACAAAGTGCAACTTTTGAGGTTTTGATATATAAACTATACCAAAATTTCCTTCTAAATCTAAATCTTTCCCTTCCGGTGGTTTAATTGTAAAATTCTGCAGAATAGTTGTAAAGTATAAAAATATCTCTTCTTTGGCCATACCTTCTCCTGGGCATGACATCCTCCCTGTAGGAATAAAAATTGAATAATTATTAAATATGGGATCAAAGGTAAATAAATTACAGGATTTAAAAAGAGTGATTCTAAAATTATAGCCAATTTTTCAATTTGATTTCTGGGTATTACGGGGTATTGTGAACTACATTGATCTCATGAACTAGCAGGCCTAACCAACCGGTTGGCCACGTGGAATCTTCCGAGTTTCTTTGTGTGTGACATTTGAATAGGGACCATTTTTCCATAGAAGGTCTTCCCGGGAGCCACTACCCCTTGGCAGATCGCCTACGTCTTGCGTTTCCTCATCCAATCAATCACTATTATAAAGTTTGCCGACTGTGTGATTCTCCGGATGGTCGAGGGGTCGAGACAATCGTGCGTTGGCGTGATATTCACACTGAGACAGGCTTACCATTTACTTTTTCCTGTTTAATAAAATATAAACATATTCTTACAAAATTTTCTATATTTTTGTCGTTACAATTCTCTTTTGATATTTTTTTTTTAAGAAGAGAGTCCATTAAAAGTCCGAATGTCACGTTGAATGTCTACATTCGGTCCCTCGTTGATGGTCGTTTGCAGGATCGACAGGTACGGGGCTCTTTGTTAAGCTCGGATATAACAGATCTTGGAGAAAGAATAAATCTTGGAAAGAGAACAACTCTGGGAGAACGAACGAATTGGGGGGACCTCATACTATCATGCATTTGCCCTTAGTGATCCTAGTGAGTGCAATGCAATAGTAGTTCACAAAGCATTATTATGCACAAATGGAAAAATTGTCACGCCCGTAATGGTCAAATTTTACTAAATACTAATACATCAGATCGACCTCATTGAAGGTCATTCTGCTGATCTTCAATGAGGTCGATCTGATGGGTGAGGATGAAAAACAATGTCCCGATCCTAACTACACTGCCAAAATGGAAATGCCAATGCCAATATCAATGTAATTATATATATAATCTTATCAGTTTGAAGGACACAACTTCAAATCCTTCAAAACAGATAATAAATGTACAGTGGCACAGCAATGCAAATTAAAAGTTTCCAATAAACAAGTCGAGCCAGGGCCGGATCATCGCATAGACAAACGAGACAAATGTCTAGGGCCCGGTCAAACTGTCTATTTTGAAAAGATTTGTATATAAGATAGTTCACTTTTCTGCTCGACGACTGTATATAATAAACAAATAAACAAAAATATATTGTTTTTTATATGGTTATTGTGAATTCTTAAATCTAAAGAAAATATGTTCTTATGTGGGAGGGGGACCGGTAAGAAGAAAATGTCTAGAGCCCCAAAGTGGGTTAATCCGGCCCTGTGTCGAGCTGTTTAATTAAGCACTATGGAAAGCTGTAGTGATATTAGCTACAACATATAGAATGACTCAGATGACAAATGGCCTCATTCAAACTGGTTTAATTGCCAATAATTAATCCAGTTTGAATGAGGCCGAGTAGTAGGCCACGAAAGGGAGGCTTTTCATTTCGCGAGATAGCAGAAACGGTTGACACATGTCTATCTTGTACAACTGTTGGCAGCAATAATCCAAGGAAGGCAGTACTACCAGTAGACCGGTTCCAGACCCCTTCGGCCCACGCAAAGGATTGGCACATACGCATATGTTGACGTATTGGAGGACATTTGCAGTGGAAATCCGATGTCATCACAAGAACTGTTTGGAACAATTTACTGGAGAGTAGCCTCTGGTCCAGTGGTGAGTGGTGTGTTTGACATTGTCAGAGACATCTTCAGTGGTGCTGCGTAAGAGCCCATTGGAGGGCAGGACGGAATTCTGTGATATTCATAGACGAGGATCATTTCTGCATTGGTACTAGTGATGGTCTTACACATCAGGAGGATGGCTGGAGAACGTCTGTTGACACGCAGCACCCATTATCAACAAGCTGATCCAATCCTAGACATTATGGACTGGGAGGAATTTATAACAACAGGACCCCCCCTGGTGATTATCTCCAACACTATGACAACAGTGATCAAACCCAATGTTCTGCCATTCATGAACAGTTTTGAGGGGAGCCTGTTTTAACAGGATAACGCTCGTTCTCATACTGCAGCTGCTGCGTTGAAATATTGAAGAGAATTGAAGCTCTTCAAGATTTCAATGTATTACCCTGGCCGGCAAGATCGTCAGATCTTTCGCCAATACAGCATGCGTGGGACATGATTGAATGACCGAGCCAGGCTCATCCGCAACCAGCAACAACCATTGCAGATCCGATCCTATAGGAGCAGCAAGAGTGGAATTTGGAATGAAGATGAGCAGAATACCTGTCATTGCGAATTAGTACATTATCAATTTATCACAATCACACGGATTATTTACATAAATATTATTTGCTTCTCTGAATTATCTCAGAAAATGGGATTGAATTGGATTGATGACATTAGGCAATGCAACACATGGGCGGCCTGCCAAGGGAAAGATGCCTCCTGGGAGGTCTTTTATGAGAAAATGGCTTATATTTAGGAGTTAAACACGTGAAGAAAATCCAGAAAACTCCATGCGGTCAGTCCATTGCCAGGCGCGTATCCGCGACCATCTACTCTCGACTACCGGTTGGTTGAAAATAGATTGAGGCAGTAATGAAGATCGGTTAGAGAGGAAACATGATAGATAGGAATAGGAACACAAATCCGTATGATTAACCGAAAGAAAAGATTATTACTCTAGAGTAAGATAAATTGAATATAATAATAGAAACAACATACCATATGAAAACGGAATATAAAATTCATGTCGAATAAGTTTACTTCCAGTTTCATCTAAAAATCTTTCAGGTCGAAAGACTTCAGGATCTTTCCAATAATTTTTATCATTATGGACAGCCCAGATATTTGCTAAAACAATACTACCCTTGGGTATTTTGACGCTTTTCACTGTTGTATCCTTTACACAACTATGTAAATAATCAATTATTAGGGATAATTTATAACTTTTCTTATTATATTTTGAGAAATTCTTACATACTATCTGAGAATATTCAAAGGAGCAATAGTTTTCCATCTTTGTAGTTCATAAATTACAGCTTGAGTGAATGGAAGTTTCGGGTGATCAGCCCAGTCTGGAAGGCGATGTTTTCCTATTGTATTATCGATTTCTTGCTGAACACGCTTTTGAACACTTGGATATTTTGCCATGGTAAGAAAAGCCCATGATAAACTCTCTCTAACAGTTCCACTTCCAGCACCAAACAGCTGTTGTGTCGTTTGAATCAGCATGTCCTCTAATCATGAAAATTTTTAAATTTATAAATCATTTTAACACTATAATTATTATTAATATTTATTAAATGTAAAATTAGAAAAATATACCATCAAAATAAGATTTGTCATCGCCATTTCTGCTTTTTAATTCGGTTAAATAACCATCGATATAATCTCTTATGTTATTGCTGTCCAAGGTCATTTCATGTTCTTGAATTTCTTGTCTACAAAAAAATCATTGTGTCAAAATAATATTTCATTTATAATTTTCATAGAATTTAATGAAGACGTACTTTACAAACGTCGTAACATTATTCATGGCCGTAACCGCTTCTTTATAATTGAAAAAACTAAAATGGCGCACCAATGGTCTTAACCAGGGAATGAATATTAGAAAAGAATTTTTACCGATAAACTTTCCTAAAGTTTTTAAACCATGATCTAATAATTTTCTTTCCTTAGAATTATACTCGAGTCTTCTTCCAAATACTAAAGAGCCTATAACGTTCGATACACTAGGAGTCAATATTTCATTGGCTAAAAGTGGCTCCCCGTTAAAACGCTTAAATTCTTTGAGAACAAGAGATATTTCTTCCTGCCAATAATGAATTTTTTTTATATTAAAAATTACAGAAGCAAAGTATAGAACAAGAAGATTAAAATATATCCATACCTTAATAAATTCCTCCATTTTATTCTTTCCTAAACCAAGATCACGAAGAACGTGCAAGATGAATCGACGTTGCTCTAACCATAGTTTACCACCAAATCCAGCTGTAATTAGTGAATATTTTATAAAATATACTCTATAAGTTTTTAAAATATATTAAATTTTATAACTTACTTTTAGTATATTTTATTTTATTTAACAGATCAAAAGGCATCTGCGGAGGACGAGCAAGAATATTCGAATCGTTTAAGCCCTCCTTTATAGAGGAATAATCGTTCAAAATTACGGTGTATCGACTACCCAAATATATACTAAATTTAAAAGAAAATAATATATATATATATAATAATATAATAGTTTATTTTAAAATATACAATACTTTTTTATTGTCTCACCTGATTATGTCACCGTATTTAACTCGCAATTTATACAATTTTTGGGGTGCATCTTTGATAATGAAGGGCAAGTAGCCAACAATTGGTAGTCCTAATGGCCCGGGAGGAAGATTTTGTCTTTTGTATAAAATACGATGGGTAAAATACGCAACCGTCACTATTATAATTAGACTGGATATCAAAGTATTTTCCCGTGTCCATTCTATCAGAGTATCCATTTTGAATCCCTTATGTAACGATTCACTCGTATATTTATATCAAATATTAATTTTTGCCGCATCACTTATCGGCTTCTTATCTCAATTTACTATTACATGAGCAGAGTTCGCGTTTTTATCTGATATCAATCAGTGTTTAAACTCGACAGACGTGTTGCATAAGTGTTACTTTTTTTAATTTCCGAAATTGTGAAACTCCTCCCCGTGGGCACCTAAAAAAGCCCTTTTTAGCAAACCCCGTATGGGTTAGGCCAGGCCAAGGCCTCTAAATCAGGGGTGGCCAACGTATGGCAAGAGTGCTCAAAGTGGCACGTAATGAATAATCATCTGGCACGTAACATGTCATACGATTTCGATTTGTCACCTGTCTTTATCGATAATCCTTTTTTCAATCAGCTTTCTTACATTTATTCTGATTAATTTTTCCTACTGATATGATATTTTACTTTTAAAATATCAATATCATTGTTGTTCGTTTCGTATCTAGTAGAATCCATTATCATTTCGATGATTCTATCCAATTCAACTTTTATATTATTAACTTAGTAGATAAGCCCGGTATTGTCCGGGCAAACGATAACAACACCAAAGAATAAGATTAGAAGTACGAAATAATCTATTAGATTTTTTGTACTCCTAACACTTATATTATATTATATTATAGTAATTAATTCAGTCAACGACTACTAGTTAATACTGGTCTACTATTAATATTTGTAATATAGTCAAAACCCGTCTATAACGGAAACTCAAGAGACCGGACAGTTCTTTCGTAGTAGACAGGTTTCCGCTACATACAGGTTACCTGCTATAGGTATCTCTCGATTAATGCGATTAATAAATTTCTCGATGTTACCGCGTATATCAAAATCGCATTAATCATATACAGTGGTACTGCGTAAGTTCTTGTTAAATTCGTGTTAAATCGGATAAAGATACCGATTTTTCCATTATACGGCCCGATTTTCCTTTCTATTTCTGCATTGGACAGGTTCCGTTATAGACAGGTTTGACTATATTTTTTAAAAATTATATATCCATTTTCGTCGCACCGTTAGCCTGGTACTGTACAATTAACCTGAACCTTCTGTTCGTAAGCTTTCCATATTTCGTCTCTACTTTCATCTAACTCCTTCCTCGAGATTAAGGAAAAACAGACAAACGACAGTGAGAATTTATAGGATACAATTTTTTTCAAATTGCAGTGATTTTTCTATAAAAGCGAGAACGTAGAGTAGTTTATACAATCTTTTGCAAACATATAAACACTTTATCATCATATAAATCCGGTTATTAAAGAGTTTGCGGCCGACGTTTTCATCGCGAAAACGTGTACGTCGGACGTTCAGCGCCACCTTCTTGTAAACCTAGAAGTTTGACAATGGAGTTTGGAACCTCAGTGGAATCATGCTCGACGTACCAAACGCCATTGTCAAACTTCTAGGTTTACAAGAAGGTGGCGCTGAACGTCCGACGTACACGTTTTCGCGATGAAAACGTCGGCCGCAACCTATTCTAGCATTTTTGCAAGATTTTTTTTTTATTTAAACAAGTCATACGAAGTCTTTCCGGACGTTCAGATTATACATGCCGGGTCGTCACAACCTGTCTAACACGGATCACTTTTCAAATATTAATAGTAGACCAGTATTAATTGTTTGTTTGTTTAATTATGATTTATATACATGGTTTAGAAGTACGAAATAATTATTAGATCATTTTGTATACTTTAATCTTAACAGTGTTTTTTTTTGCCCTGGCAACGTCGGCTCATCTGCTAGTAATAAAATAAAAGATATATTTTAAAACGTATAGAATTGCTTTTATAAGTCTCAACGCTTGGAAGAAATAATTTTAAAAAATTAAAAGAATTTCGAGTCGGAATGAATTGTAACGCTGTTTGTTACTATTGAGGTCGATTCCTAAATAATTCGATACGGCGCTAAAAAATAAATGTAAAAAATTTAAATATTTCGTGGACGTTTCGAAGAGTATCGCTTTTATTCGTTTGTTTGTAATTTTAGAATAAAATACAAAGGTGTGACAAAATACGATACGAAATATAACGACGTTGACCTAGCGCCATCTGTCGAGAAGTTACTAAAATATTCCTATTTAACGCTTGGAAAAAATAGTTAAAATACTCATTGTTTCACATCTTTAAGAAATATTCGATAACTCGGTGTGTATTATCTAATGGCTTTTCAATTTACGTAATTGTTTAATAAGGTTTTCGAAGAGAGAAACATAACTACAGTGACACCAGAGAGACGAAAGCAACCGTCCTAATGACTCCCTTCAGCAAGATTGCACTCAAATTCCCTTCAGTCGAACTAATCTTTCGCCTTTTACTAAAGATTACCGTGGAGGGGAGCTTTACAATTAGCCTATAGGCAATTTTTGAAATCCCGCTTTCCGCGGGATGTTTTATAAACAAAAAATAGTAAACTTAATGTAGTGGCCAAATCTAACGAGTCACGCTATTGGTTATTTTCTTTTGACGATTAACTACGTCATAACTGTGACAATGAGAAACGAAGAATCAGACGTATGGAGTTAACAGCCTTATATGTGTTCGCGACTCGGTTTGATTCGTTTATAACTGTCGCTAGTCGAACGTCCAGCTGTTCGCGCAGGCAGTCCGCTTGAGAAAAACCCGGCTATTGAAAGCGATGATAAAACTGACATAACTACGCGGTAAGTCACGAACACCAACCAACAAAATGGAAGTTTTGGTTAGAAATAAACACTTTTTCTTGCCATATATCTAATAATTAGCAGATCGCATCGTCTCTCCAAATATCTCTCTTATTTCTGTGTTGATAGCCCGACACGTGTTCCGCAGCCATCGGTGCGAACGGGGCGTTAGGGTGCGACTATGCAGAAGCGAATTTAGTAACGAGAGAGAGTGCGAACGATATGGTTCTCGCAAAGGAAAACCATGCATAAGCGAGAAATATCGCTGAAGAAAGCGAATTTCTGGTT